CCATGTAATTCACCACTTAGGTTTCATTTTTTTCTTCAATACTACTCCTCTTTTTGCACTACTTATTTTTTTTGCATCGAGCTTATCAATCTTTATAGCATTTTCAATAATCTAACCCGATATCATCATATCTGTAAAATTTTTGGTTATATTGCCTATCAATCTTTCATAATAAGGTGCTTTTAGGGTATTATCAAACAAGACAGTTATTTCTTTCTCAGTGAGAAAATGTTGTACTTATGTAATCATATCTCTCCATCTCTGTTCATACTCTTTAAAGCTTTCTATTACCTTTTTTTTCATACTTTGTAGAGATAGACGATCTAAAACTAAATCCATGACATGTCGGTATTGTGCAAAAAATACCCTAATAAGCTCTTGCCAAGAATGAATACAAGTCTTATCTAGGTGAACATACCATTTGGCTTAGATCTCGTAAGATTTTCTTGAAATACATGCATGAACAGCTTCTCAACACGAGCATGTGCCGTCATTTTATGACAATACATAGTGATATGGGTCATTAGGCATTTTGTACCATCATATTTTTCAAATTCAAAAACCTTGAATCTAGGTGGAATGATCACGTCTAGGACCAAACAAAGTTTAACTGCATCTATAGAACTGTAAAAATTCATTCCCTCTATGGCCTTAAGTCTTTCTTCTAATAATTTCATTTTTTATTGGGCACTGATATCTTCTACTTTCTCAAGTGTCTTTATCCCTAGCTTTTCTCTCTCATTGGGATCATCCAAATTAAGAATAAAGATTGGCTCAGGTGGTTTTTTCATTATAATAGGATTAACAAAATTTTGAAATTATCCTGGAGTAGGTGTGAATGTCATTCCTAGATAAGGATTGAAATATTTACCGAGAGTAGGAATTTGCATTCTGGCTTCTTGAAAAGGTTGGGTTGATCTGGCTCAAACTCTGAAAGATATATAGGATCCATCATTCCTGATGATTGCTCTTGAAAGTTGAGATTTTCTTTCACTATTTTTTTTTATCAAGATTCTTGAGCATGTTCATTATCTTATCAATATCCCCTTTTAGTTCTTCTTGAGCCTTCTCCATCCTTTCAAATCGACTAACCTATTCTTGTTTCATGATTCTTGTTTGAGCTTCGATGTTGTGTGAATGGTGAGCAGGTTGAGTTAAAATTTTTGTTGGGCAAGCTATTCTTGAACCTTTATTACCAAAATTTTTTTTTTTAAAATCAGAATGCCATTTGTCAAAAATTTTATTTTTCATTTTATTTTTGATTTTTTTTGAAAGAAAAAACAAAAATGGTGCACATGATGCATGAATGCAAATGAGAGACATTTGCTTTTGGATAAATTTCAGCATCTGAAACTTTCATTGATTCATACAACTTTTTTTACATGAGATTTGAGCAAATTTGTAGTTTTATGGGATCTATGAAGAACTTCTCAAGAGAAAAATGTCCTAAAATAAATACCTCGATGTAAAACTACATGATATAATTTATAAAAAAGTAAAAAACAAGACAAAATTGAGTTAGTGTAAAGGTGTGGTTTGAGATTAAAAAATATTTTTTTGTTGTTTTGTTTTGTTTTGCATTACACACAACTTTTATTCTTATACATTTTAGACTTAGATATTTTTTACAAGAGGGTGGGCAAGGCTCTACCTAAGGTATTCCTAAGCTTATTACATGTTTGGTTTAGGTTGACATGCGTCTAAAGGTTCTTAAATTATTTCTTACTATATTCCACATTAGACTAGTAAGGCACTCTGATTCTTACCCATTATAGGTTACAAACAAAAAAGATTTAATTGGAGTGAAAATATTTCGCTCGCCATTACGGAGGTTATTACCTTACGAGGGCATAGATACTTTACTTCTCTATAAGGGACAGAGCCCGGGTATAAAACTCATGCATGAGATGCATTGTGTCATTGTGTATGTATACATTTCCTAATTTATCAAGAGTAATACAAAAGAAAAAAATAAAGCATAGGAGGCATAGTAAAAGAAACGTGTGTGAAAATTTTTTTTTATTTCAATTTGTTTTTTTTTTTTTTTTGACTTTTTTCTTATTGAAAGTGAAAAATAAAAATCTAAGAAATTGATTAGGATTGTTTAAATTAAAATTTTTGGATAACACATAGTAAATTTTTCTCGAAAACAAATGACATCCCCAGTGGAGTCACCAAGCTATTGTAACGGTTTTGAAACTGCTTAACGAATTTGAAAATGAAAATAAAAAATAGAGTTGTCACCAAGCTTTTTTGGCTAGGTGTGATTGGCCACCTATTAAAATTTATCATTTTAATAAAATTTTAAAATTAATCAAATTTTATTAAAAAGATAATTTTATGGTCTACGGAATAGTCTAGGTTTGAGAGTTTGTTATGTGTGGGGAAAGATTAGCACCCTCACAGCACCCGTTTAAAAATGGTACCACTTAACTACGTGTTATCCTTTGCTTTTGATAAAAAAATAGTCTTATTTTCGATATTTGAAAAATAATTTTCTTGAATTTTCATTTATTGGAAATTATTTTTTAATTTTATTTAGTGCTTATATTTTATTCGAGAAAAATAAATTAGAACCTTTTTATTGAAATAATTCTTAAAATGTTCCAGTACGTTGGTAACATTAGAAGAACTCTTTCTCACCTAGAGATTTTTTAGGCATTGCTTCTTGGAATACCTTAAAATCTTATCTTCGGAGGCTCAAATTTATTTTTCATAAAAAATTATGCCATGCATGCAATGCAAATGATAATACATTAATGCACACATTTTGTTTTTTAATTTAGAAATTTTATTAATTTTTTATTAAATTTTTCATTTAAAAATTTGAAAATTTTTTTTATTATATTGAAGATTTTTTATAAATATTCTAATACACTGGTAATATTTAAAAAATATCGTTTCACCTAAAGATTTCTTAAAGCATCTCTACTTAGAATACTTTTGAATCCCATCATCGGATAAAATTTTTTTTTTCACATTTTTTATTACTTATTCTTAATTTATTAGTTATTTTTTATTTTTATTTTATAGCAAAAACAAAGAAAATTTTTATTGTATTGAAATTTTTTTTTATAAATACTCCAATATATTTGTAGCATTTAAAAAAAATCTTATCACATAGAGATTTCATAAGTGTCACTACTTGGAGTACATTTAAATTTTATCGTTGGATAAAAAAAATTTTTTCTTACATTTTTTATTAATATTATACTTTTATTATTTTTATCTTTTAAAGCTTATTTCAAGATTAATAAAATTATAACTACATATTTCATCATTTATTTTATTTACTACAACAAAATTTATTCTAACAAATATAAATATTTTAATATGCATAAATATTATTAAAATAATATATAAAAAAATATTAAAAATTAAAATTTTTTTTACCTGAACTGGACCTGTCAACATGGGTCCAATCGGTTCGATGGCTAAGTCCGGTCTGGTTGGTTTGGTGATTCAACATCTGTCTAGTTTGGCCTGGGTCAGTTCAGTTGGACTGGTTAGAGGTAAAAGAATAAGTGGGTCTTTGAGTCGGGTGCGTAAACTCTAGGTTAGGTTTCAGGTTGACGCGTATATCCTAGCTTAAAACGGTATCATTTTGGGCTTTTAGATGAAATGACATTGTTTTAGGGCTAGACTCCTATATAAAAGTAAAAAAAAAAAAAAAATTCAGCACATTTTCCTTCTTTTCTTAAAAAAAATCTCTCTTTCATTTTCTGACAAGTCAACCGTGTTCCTTGTCAAAGGCGAACTTCGACCTTCATTTCGGTCGTCAAAAAATTCTAAAACCTACTCACAAACTCCTTTCGACCTCCTAAATACAAATCCAACTTTTTTTTCACCAAAAAGAGTCCCAAAATCCCTAGATCTACTTTCTAACTTTTGGCCAAAACTCTCTTTTTTTTTTTGTATTCTGATTTACCTTTTTTTTTGCAACTAATTTTGATTTTGTTTATAGGTGTTTCAGCGCTGGATTCCTTGTTCTAACGGACTAAGTTTTTTTTTTTTTTTGTTTGATCTTTGATAGAATCCTTTCTCTCTTTTTGGTTGCAGGGTCTCCTCATTTTTCTTTTTGGTAGTCGGCTAAGAGCTCTATTTATAGAGCTCCTGTCATGGCATTGTGCCTAGGCAGGTGGCATAGGGCTTGGCACGACACCCCAGCACAACCTCTCTACCCCATTTATTTTAGTATTGTCTAGTCTTGGCCAGGGCCTAGCAAGGGTAGGTGGTGCCAGTGGTGCTGTGCATAGCACCAAGAACCCCTGCCGCCTTTGTTTTTTTTCTTTTCTTGTATTCTTCTGTTTGTCCTTTTTTTGTGTTTTGTTTAATTTAACAAAAATAGAATAAAAAAAACTAAAAATAAAATAAAATAAAAAGTAAGCTGGGCCTAAAGAATAAAATTGGGCCTTAGGCCTGATAAAAATTGAGCCCCAGGCCCAGTTGAATTGAAATTGGGCTTCAATCCGATTGAACTGAAATCAAGCCTTGGCCATATTGAATTACAATCAAATCTTGGTTCAAAAACATGATATTCGATAAATATTCAACCAAGACACAGTTAACATCCGGACAAATTTGGTGTCTACAATAGCATTTGCTTGAAGGTTGTCTTTACATCAATTTCTCGTCAGCATCAATCTTCTATGGTGCTAATTGTGGTCAATTTTTTTAGAAATTACGGCAATAACTTAATCAAATTCTTAATGCTTATAATTTTTTCATTAGATTTAGACTTTTTTAAGAAATCTATTATTTTATATTAAGTAATTAATGTAAAATTAATTTATGATTGAAAATTTTTAATAATTTTAAATTAAATAGAAAGATAATTAATGAAAATCAATTAAAAATAAAAAGAATTATGTGAATCCTAAATTATTATGCTACATAGGGTATTCTATGGGTAAAGCCTGTGCAATTAACTCTTGGTACCTTAGTTAATTGTAGATAAGAAAAAACAAAAAACAAAAAAAAAACAAAAAACAGAGTTCCATCCAATACATCTGCAATATTGCACTTAGTTCTTCTTCATAAACAAAACACTTTGAAAATTCAAACTAATTTCAATACCAGTGATTCATTCGGCTTGATGGATCTACCAGGCAAGCCTTCGGAAATGCATAGCTATCTTTTTCCATTTTACCTTGCCTTTATTCTACTCTCGTGCGTTAACATGCAAGGTCTTTACTTGCATGGTTTAGCAACCTCATTGGTTAGCGGAAATGACACAGATCAACAAGCTTTACTGGAGTTCAAGGCCAAGATAACTGGTGATCAGCTCGATTTTATGCATTTGTGGAACAACACCATTCATTTTTGCCGATGGTATGGTGTTACATGCAGTCGCCGACATCACAGAGTGACCAAGTTGGACTTATCATCACTAAAGCTCATGGGATCTGTATCACCTTATATTGGAAATCTCAGCTTTCTAAGGGTTTTAAATCTTCAAAACAACAGTTTCAGTTACGCAATTCCTCAAGAAATTGGTCGTTTACACAGATTGCAGGAGTTAAGACTGCACAACAACTCCTTTGGTGGTAAACTTCCTCCAAATATATCCGGTTGTTCTAAGCTTGAAATCTTTGCTGTTGGAAACAACCTGCTAGTAGGAGAAATTCCAGGGGTGCTTGGCAGCTTGTCAAACCTAAAAAGATTACTTTTAAATGGCAACAAGTTTACAGGGAGTATCCCACCTTCCTTAGGGAACTTATCATCTCTGGATTGGATTACTCTGGCTAAAAATAGACTGAGTGGGCGTATTCCTGAAGCTCTTTACCAACTGACAAATCTTATGGTTCTCTCTTTGGTAGAGAATGGAATTTCTGGTACCATTCCTGCCTCAATTTTCAATCTGTCGAATATCAAACTTCTTGATTTTGGGCACAACCAGTTTCAAGGTAGTCTTCCATCGGACTTGGGAATCACTATGCCATATATTGAAGTCTTTTCAGTAAGTCATAACCAACTTATTGGATCAATCCCCGTTTCAATATCTAATGCCTCAAATTTCTTTGCACTTCATACTCAGAAAAATAACCTTAGTGGCAACTTGATTTCATTTAAAAACCTGCATAAACTAGCACGACTTACCATCAATGGCAACCATTTTGGCAGTGGGGGAGCAACTGACCTGAGCTTTCTTTGCTCTTTGATCAATGCTACCGCATTAAATACTCTGAATATAGGCGAAAATAACTTTGGAGGGCTATTGCCCGAGTGCATAAGCAATTTCTCCAGTGTTTCCTTTTTCATTATAGAAGAGAACAAAATATTTGGAAGAATTCCAGCTGGGATTGAAAATCTCATCAACTTGGAGATGCTGGTGGCATCCAACAATCGATTATCAGGTTCTATTCCCTTTGGTATTGGCAGGCTTCAAAAGCTGAAGGTATTTTATGCATCCTATAATTCTCTCTCTGGGGCTATTCCCACTTCTTTTGGAAATTTGACGATGTTGATTAGCCTCAGTTTGCGTCAAAACAATCTTCAGGGCAACATTCCCTCAGATCTATCTAGGTGCGAGAATTTGATTGAGTTGAGTGTTTCTCATAATAACCTGACTGGTTCAATACCCACTGGAGTGATCGGTCTCTCATCATTGTCCATTACTCTAGACTTATCTTCAAACAGTTTAACTGGTATGCTTCCAGTTGAAGTGGAAAATTTGAAAAATCTAGGTGAATTGGATGTTTCTTTCAACAGGTTATCAGGTGTGCTTCCGAATAATCTTGGTAGCTGTGTAAGACTGGAGATACTATACTTGAGGGGGAATTTCTTCCAAGGGCTAATTCCTTCTTCTTTGAGTTCATTGAGAGGACTTATAGAATTAGACTTATCTGACAACAATTTCTCTGGTGAAATTCCAAAATTTCTTGTCAGCTTTGAGTCGTTGCAATATTTAAATCTTTCTTTCAATGATTTAGATGGTGCTGTACCAACTGGAGGAGTCTTTAAGAATGCGAGTGCTATATTTGTTGAGAGAAACAGTAAGCTTTGTGGAGGTATCCGTGAGCTTCACTTGCCTGGATGTTACTTGAAAAAGTCCACCAGGAGATCAAACAATTCTCTCAAACAAAAAGTTGCAATTGCTTCAACAATTTTAGGAGTGACTTTGGTATTCTCCTTTCTCCTCTTTTTGTGCTTTAGAAAGAAAAAAAAGCAGCCTGCTGCACCATCCTGTGAAGAGAAGTCACTTTTAAAGTTATCATATGGAAGCATCCTAAGGGCTACAAATGGGTTCTCATCTGCAAATTTGGTCGGTGTAGGGAGCTTTGGTTCCGTGTACAAAGGAATTCTTGAAGAGAATGGATTAGTCATTGCCATTAAGGTGCTTAATCTTTTACGGCCAGGAGCTTCAAAGAGTTTCATGGCTGAATGTGAGGCCTTGAAGAACATTAGACATCGAAATCTTGTCAGGATATTAACAGCATGTTCCAGTGTTGATTATAAAGGTACTGATTTTAAAGCTCTTGTTTATGAGTTTATGGTTAATGGGAGCTTGGAGGATTGGTTGCATCCATCTGTTGGCATGAATGAGACAGAGAAAAACTTGAATCTTTTCCAAAGAGTAAATATAGCTGCAGATGTTGCTAGTGCACTTGACTATCTCCATCATTATTGTGAGACATCAATCATTCATTGCGACCTTAAGCCAAGCAACATTCTACTCAACGATGAAATGGTTGGCCATGTAGGAGATTTTGGCTTAGCAAAATTCCTTTCAACAGAAACGCCAAACTATTCGACTAACCAGTCAAGCTCTCTTGGATTAAAAGGAACCATTGGTTATGCTCCACCAGGTCAGTTTTACGAATATTCTTTAAATTCATTTCTAATTATAAAACTTATTCAAAAGCAAATTAAGGTATAATTTTGAAGTTGATTTCTCTTAACAAGAAAAGACTACTCACATCAATTTTTAATTTCTTAAATTTGTTGTGTAATCAATGTGATCGATGAATGGCAGAATATGGCTTGGGAAGTGGGGTGTCAACAAAAGGGGATGTGTATAGCTATGGCATCCTCTTGCTAGAATTGTTTACAGGGAGGAGACCTACTGATGAACTGTTTAAAGAGGGTTTAAGCCTCCACGACTTTGTTAAGTTAGCTTTGCCAGAACAAGTGGATGGGATTATAGATCCCATTCTCCTTCAAGAGAGAGGCGGAGGAGGAGCAGTCACAAATAATAGTTGCACTGGAACCAGCCTGGGATATGACAGGCCTTTCCAATACTTGAATTCAATTCTTGAAATAGGAGTCACTTGTTCTGCTGAATCTCCGAGAGAACGAATGGACATGATTGATGTTGCTGCCAAGCTTTGTTCTATTAGAGACAAGCTTTATCCAACTCGAGTACGTCCTTTGGGCAAAACTTTATATGCAGCTCAATCATCAGGTTTGCATAATTTGACAAAATAAAATGTTTTTTGGGTAAATTTTGTCAAAGTAAATGTCATTCAGTGATTGTTTAAAGATTGACTTGTTTTCATATGTTGCAGGTGCCTAATTTGCCATACTGGACTTGTGAGCATAAGGTCATGCAAGGTACTGTATTGAATATTAATTTTTCTACAAGCACTTTGTTTTGAGAAAAGAAAATAAATATGGAGTATTTACCTTCATATCCAATAGTTGTGCGCAATCTGTATTAAATTCCTATTTGTTGTATACAAGATATAATATTTCCTCATTGTCTCTCTTTGTAGCATGATCACGTGATTCGCAGGTGAATATATTTTTTAAAATGTGTTATTATTATATTTTTAAAGTATAATTACAAAATATAAATAAGTGAAATTTTAATTAGTAATTATTTTATTGAGAGATTTTTACATCCTTTAATATTATAAAAATAAAATTTGAGTGAAATTAACAAATTTAATATTAATAAAAATTAATTGTAAAAGTGAAAATTTTCGTCAAGACGTACCTGAGGTCCAAGGAAGACCAGGGTGCGATTCAGGTTGATAGGCTGGAAGAAAAGGTCGAAGATCCTACTGGCAGTGATGACCGTATCTTTGGCTCTCCCAAAGATGATGATAACAAACAAGACTTGGGTGTCACTGGGACAGCCTAGCTTTAGCTACCTATGCCTATTGCTCTGCTACTCAGTCTGATCTCTTTTTAGTTTCTCCTTGCCTTTGCGATCCTTTTTCACTTTTGCATGTTTGATATAAGATGTACACGCCAATAAATAAAGAAGGGAACAACAAAAATTCCCACTTTAATTTGTCTTCAAAGCTAATATTTGATAACCTACAGTCAGTTCAGCCAACACAATTTCAACCATAGAATTGCCCGTAATTCAGCCTTGGAGAATATCACATCCAATTCCATGCAACTTTATATCGTGGACATGATATATGATCGGATTCAAATAATAGAGTTGGGTTGCCGTTCTTCAGCCCTATCTTCCAACTTGCCAACTTCACAACCATCAACCAATAGGATGCTTAGTGGTGGCGGTGGTTGCTTCAGCCAACTCCAATTAACAATAATGCAAACAAGTAAACTAATCTTAGATATGCTGATTAAACTAATCTAAGATATGCTACTCCCACTAAATCTGCTAGCATGAGAGATTTCAAGTCTTCAAGAGTACTTTGATTAATTATGAATTTGAATCGACTAAATAATAAATATTTTTTAATTTTAATTTACATTTAAATAATTTTTTAATTTTTAATTATATATTCGAATAAATTTTTAATTTTTTAATTTATACGTAAATAATATTTTAATATAAATCAATTTTTGGAAATAAAAATTTGATTGGATAAATATTAAAAAATAAAAACTTATAAAAATGTATTTAAAAAATAAAATAATTCAGAAATTTTTTCATATTTTAATCATTCGAATTCCTCTGTTTGAGATGGATTTTTGTTAGGCAGCCAATCAGCTAAGAAGGTTGTTATTTCGTGGATGTGGGTCATCCTATACTTAACCAATTCCATACGCTTTGCCACCTAAATTCCATCATAAAAATACATAGCATGTGGCTCATTTATGGTCAAAATCCAAGATGGAAATGTATCGTCTTAATCTTATATTAGAATATTTCTTAGATTTGTTATGATATATATATATAAATTTAAATTTAAATTTATAAAATAATTTTTATAAAAAAAAATTATAAAATTTTCGTATCAAAATAAATATAAATTTTTATAAATATTATCAGAATAGTTACTAATTAAACGAAAATTAAATGTTATATTATAAGAATTATGAAAGTTAAAGTTATCATAAGAGTCCACGTTTAAAATCTTAACATCTGTGTGATTTCAGCTCTATTTTAACGTTGTGAATATGTGTGCCTGTGTGAGTTTGTAGCGCTTCTTCCACTAAAAGCAGGTGCCCATCCCATGAAAATCCTAACCGGATGACTTTCGAAATCGGCGAAGACAAAGAAGGATATATCTAGTTCCGAAACTTCTCTCATATTGCACTCTAGTTCTTGTTGATGAACCCGTGCACTCTTAAATACAAACCAAATAGCATCTATTAAGAAATTTATTTGGGTTGATGGTGCTATCGAGCAAGCATTTAGAAGTATCCAGCTCTGGTTATCTTTTCTACTTTGAAGTTATAATTCTTCTCTTATGCTTGAACTTGCAAGGACTCAACTTCCTTGGTTTAGCAACGCCTGTAGTGAGTGGAAATGACACAGATCAACAAGCATTACTCGAGTTCGAAGCCAAGATAACTGGTGATCAGCTCTGGGTTATGCATTCCTGGAATAGTTCCATTCACTTCTGTTAGTGGTATGGTGTTACGTGCGGTAGTATACATCAGAGTCTCAACAGGTTGGAACTGCAATTCCTGAAACTCGCTGGATCTATATCACCATATGTTGGAAATTTGAGTTTTTCAGGGTGTTGAATCTTGAAGGCAACAGCTTCAGCAACGAATTTCCTCAAGAAATTGGTCGGTTAAGAAGATTAGAAATATTACAACTGGCCAATAACTCCATCAGTGGTGAGATTCCTTCCAGTTTATCTAGTTTTTCTAAGTTTACATTAGTTCATTTGAGAGGCAACCAGCTAACTGGAGAAATACCTGGTTTGCTTGGTCTCTTGTCAAACCTGAAATTGTTGATTTTATTCAACAACAGTTTAAGGGGGAGCATCCCACCTTCCTTGGGGAACTTTTCGCCTCTAGGGGAACTTTCTTTGGGCAAGAATGGACTAAGTGGGGCTATACCTGAAACTCTTGGGCAATTGACAAATATTTCATTCTTCTCTGTAGCAGTAAATGCAGTTTCTGGTATTATTCCTCTCTCAATTTCAATCTCTCCAATACTAGAGTTTTTGATATTCGTGAAAACAAGATTCAAGGTACTCTTCCTTCTGACTTAGGAATTACTATGCCATTTACTGAAATCTTTGTCGTCGAGCAAAACCAAATTACTGGACAATTGCCGGTTTCAATATCAAATTCCTCAAATCTTATGGATTTTGATGTTTCAACAAACAAACTTAGTGGAAACTTGCCCTCATTTGGAAGCTGGATAAACTATCATGATTTTTGGTATACGACAACCATTTTGGAAATGGGGAAGCAAGTGACTTAAACTCTCTATTCTTTAGCCAATGCTACTAAACTAGATGGTCAAGATATAAGTGAAACTAATTTTGGAGGGGTATCGCCCGAGTGCATCAGCAATTTGTCTAGCACTATTAGGTATTTAGTAATATCTTGGAACAAAATATCGGGAAGAATTCCAGCTGGGATTCAAAATGTTCATCAATTTGGAGTTGCTAGAGTCATCACACAACCTGCTATCAGGTTCCATTCCCCTTGTTATTGGGAGGCTACAGAAGTTGAAAATATTTTATGCTGGTCGTAATTATTTTCTCTCAGGGGCTATTCCCCCTTCTATTGGAAATTTGACAATGTTAATAGAACTTGTTTTAGATGGTAACAATATTCAAGGAAACATTCCTTCAAGTCTAGGTAACTGCAAAAATTTGGTTGCACTATATCTTTCTAATAACAATCTTAGTTGATCCATACCCCCTGAAGTAATTGGATTCTCATCCATTTCCATTGTACTAGACTTACCATCGAACCATTTAACTGGTGTACTTCCTGATGAAATAGGAAATCTGAAAAATCTGGGTGGATTGTCTGTTTCTCGAAACAAGTTATCTGGTTCGCTTCCAAACAATCTGGGTAGCTGTGTAAGACTAGAGAAACTGTTCTCGATGGCAATTTGTTCAAAGGGCACATTCCTTCATCTTTAAGTTCATTGAGAGGTCTTATGGCATTAGACTTGTCTGACAATAACCTTTCCGCTGTAAGATTCCAAATTTTCTTGTGCGCTTTGAGTCATTACAGTATTTAAATTTATCTTTCAATGATTTCGAGGGCATGATACCAAGTGAAGGAGTCTTCAAGAATGCAACTGCTACATTCGTTGATGGAAATAGTAAGCTTTGTCGAGGTATCCCCCCGTTACACTTGTCCAGATGTAGCTCGTACACGTCCACCAAAAGATCAAACATTTCTCTTCAATTAAAAATTGCTGTTGCTTTTGTAATTTTAGAAGTGGCTTTGGTATTCTCTTTTTCCCTCATTTTGTGGTTTAGAAATAAGAAAGAGCAGCCAACAGCAACTTGTGCAGAAAATTCACTTTTATCATATCGAAGCATCCTAAAGCCTACTGACGGATTCTCCTCCCAAAATTTGGTTGGTTCAGGCAGCTTTGGTTCTGTACACAAAGGAATTCTTCAAGAGAGTGGAGTAGTTATTGCCGTTAAGGTACTCAATCTTCTGAATCGTAGTGCTTCCAGGAGTTTCTTAGCTGAATGTGAAGCCTTGAAGAACATTAGACATCGGAATCTTGTCAAGGTATTAACTGCTATTTCAGGTGTCGATTATCAGGGCAATGATTTTAAAGCACTGGTATATGAGTTCATTGAAAATGGAAGTTTGGAGGATTGGTTGCATCCATCTGCTGGCATGAATGAACATGAGACGATTAGAAACTTGAAGTTCTCCCGAAGAGTTAAAGTGTCTGTAGATGTTGCTCAAGCACTGTAGACAGGCTTAACCATTTTTCTAATCAGTCAAGCTCTCTTGGATTAAGAGGAACTATTGGTTATGCTCCACCAGGTAAGTACACTTTATTCATTTAAAAGCAGTTTTTGCTTTACAAGAAAAGACTACATTACTTCACATCAAAATGTAATTTCGTATAATTAAAGCTTGTACGTGCTGAAAGGCTAAGTGGCTAACTTTAAATAATTTTCAAAAGATCTCCTCTACTTTTGTTACCCGACATAATTTGTGATTTATTAATTGTAGAATATGGCATAGGAAACGAGTTGTCAACAAAAGGTGATGTGTATAGCTATGGCATTCTCTTGCTAGAGATGTTTAAGACGAGAAGGCCGACTGATGAAATGTTCAAAGAAGGTTTCAGCCTTTACAAATTTGTTATGGCTGCTTTGCCAGAACGGGTGGCTGAGATTATAGATCCCATTTTTCTGCAGGAGGGAGTCAGAGGAGAAATTGATAGACATCTTCAATGCTGGATTTCAATATTTGAAATAGGACTCACTTGCTCAGCTGAATCACCGAGTGAGCGGATGAACATGAGTAACGTTGTTGCCAAGCTTTGTTCTATTAGAGACAAGATTCATCCAACCCGAATACGTCATGAGGGCCAAACTCTATATGCTGGTCAATCAGCAGGTAATATTTTCTCTTATGCTGAAGCAAACAATTAGTGTTATTCTTGACAAAATGCTTAACCATTACATGACTCAAGGCAGATTAATTTCCTTTACTTTTTAAATAAATCTTGTGTTCAAATGATTTAACAAGTAAATTGTTTTTCGGTTGTATTCTGTCAATGTAAATATGATGGTTTAAAGGTTTACTTGTTTTCATATGCTGTAGGTACTTAAGGTGCCATATTTGATATGAACTTGAGAGCCATAGATCAGGCAAACTTCAGCTTTTCTCTTTTATTCACAATCCATATGGTATTTGCAGGACTTCCAATTTCTGCTAAAAACATTTTCTTAGAGAAAAGAAAATAAATGTGGGAGTGTTTCCACCAATAATTTGTTTGTGTAATTTGTATTAATGTTTCCTTTTTGTTGTTGCATCATCAACTCTTTTATTCAAAATCTGTGGCTATTAATGGGTGCTTTAAATTGTTGAAATTAATAGTTCTTTTCGTTCAATGTTACTACTTTTCCGAGTGAACGGATGTATGTTAAATATGAATTAAGTGTCGGATCAATTAAAATTTTACTTATATATTTTTTATTTTTTATATTATCCAAATTTAAGATTGAGTGTTAAATATGAGTATGTGTGTAGCATTCCAACACATATTAGGATACTTTAAAAATTTACTGTGATATATATATATATATAGCAAGAGAGAAATTTAAACTCAAAAACTTGTAAAGTATTTTTTGTAAAATAAAATCGTGAAATCTTCAGGTCAAAATAGATAATATCTCACAAGTTAGGTGCGGATCTTCACAAATGATATCAAAGCGATTGTCAATTGAACGAGAGCTAATTGCTACATGGTAAGAGCCATTTTTAGAGTTTTAACGTCTGGTGTGATTTTGTGATTTGTGTTTTTGTCAAATTTTAATATAAAATGTTCCTTATATAGAAATGTTTTAAGGATCTGCTATAATATATATGCGCTTAAACTTAAAAACTTATAAGAAATTTTTTGTGGGATAAAATCATGAGACCTTTAAATTAAAACAGATAATATCTTGCAAGTTGAGTGTAAATCTTTACAATATGTCTAATATAGATATACTTACTTTTTATTAAAATTTTTCATAAATTTAAATTGTTTGATCTCTAAACTCACGTTTATAGAATATGTGTCAAATATGATATTTTAAGATAAATGAAAATTTTAAGCAATTAATATAGTTCATTTGAAATCTTATCAAACAAAAAATTAAAAAAAAAATCTTTAAAAAAAAAGTGAGAAGATAGGTACTTTGGCTTAAAAAAAACTCTTTTGGTGTTTGGATGAAGACTTGGAATGTTGGAGAAAATTAAAAACTTAATTTGTTTTTTGAGTTTATATGGATATGGCTTAATACTACTTCTAAGGGTACGCAAATAATGATGGCCAAAATAATAATTTTAATTTTAATGTGAGAATCAATTTAATGTAATATAACATATTATACAATAAAGGGTTTTCAATTTTTTCTTTTTGGGAGAGCCTTCGTTTTCAAGTTCCACTGAGCGTTTTGATATTGATAATGTTTAATTTTTAAAAATTTTTAATATATTGGAAGATTTGGAGCTTCATATCTATTGGGCATGTATAGACCATAAATACTTTAAGAAAAATTATAAAAATCGAATAAACTTAAGTCTCGTTTAAGTTATTCTTCCAATAAAAGAAATAAAAGAGTTCACACCCATGAAATCAGGTTATAGTCAACAGAAGTGTAGCAGACCCAGTTTTTCATTTTTCATTACCATTTCAAGGTCAGATTCTTCGATTCTTTGTTCTACTGGTCAGGAAGGATATTATCTACCATTTTTTTATAATATTATAATTATCTAATCATAATAAAAATTTACATAAATATCCAACATTTATAAAAAAAGACTTTATATAAAATTTTAATTAATTTTATATAATTTTAAATTTTAATTAATTAATTAATTATATTATATTATAATAATTATAAGTGAAATACTCTCATTAATCAAGTCTACAACGCCTTTTAAAAGACTTACAATTAATACCGGCAATGAAAATAAATGTCGCATAAGGAAATCAATTTTTCATTTTTTTTGATGAAGCAATTTTTTTTTCTTTTTACAGGTTATTCTTCTAGGAGAGTACGTATACTATTTATTTACAATTTTAAAAATAAATATAATCAAATAAAATTTTTTTTATCACTATCCCATTATTAGTTAGCAGAAAAAATGAAAACTAATTAAATTCATCGTGTGAAATAAAGCTGAAACTTTTTAGTTGTCAAAGAGAGTGGGACCTTGTTAGCTTTTTTCTACACCTCACACGGACGTCATTTCCCCACCTGAAAACAAGGTATCATCATTTATCGGCTTACTTCTTTTCCATGCTCAAGTTTCTTCACCTCAGGACACGGCATGAGAATTTTTAGATGGCAGCAAACGGATATCTTACGGTCCAATTATATAGAATTAAGATTTTCTATAATCCAGTTTAGGTTGGAAAATTATTATTTGTCAGAAGTTTGGAAAGTGATATTAGATATTAGGAACATATTATTTATAATTATTGTAATATAATTAATTAATTATAATTTAATATTATGTAAGATTTATAAAAAATTATGTAAAATTTATATTTTTAAATGATGAGTTTTTATATAATTTTTAATTATAATTGATTAATTATAATATTATAATAAAAAAATTATATATGAAATGCTATATACAAACCCGATGGTAAAAAGCACTCACTCTCTGCCCGAGTCCAAGCGCCAATGCACCATTTGATGGTGCTGGCTCTTCGATCTTCAACCTCTATTACCAACCCCATCTTCCCGTTTCATAACCACCAATCGATAGGATGTCGGTTAGTTGACATCTTAGGCTGAAATTTTCAGTCAGCTACAACAATAATAAAACTGAATATATATATACATATATATATATATATATATATATAGAAATAGAGGGAAAGTATTTAGTTAAGAAAATATGGCTCAATTATGATAAAAACCTAGGATAAAAGTAGGGATCGTATGCTAATCCTAGCCACATGACTTTCGAAGTCAAAACTTGAACCAATTGACGGTAGGTATAGCAGGATAAATAAGTGTTCCAAAACTTCTCATACTGCACTTTGGTTCTTGTCGATGAACGAAGCACTATAAAATCCAAATCAGTCTCACCAACTAAGATATTGATTCAAGTTGATGGAGCTATCGAGCAAGCATTTTAAAATGTCTAGCTCTTTTCTCCTTGTTTACGTTGAAGTTATAATTCTTCTCTCACGCTTCAACTTGCAGGGGCTTAACTTACTTGGTTTAGCAGCCCATGTAGTTAGTGGAAATGACACAGATCAACAAGCTTTATTGGAGTTCAAAGCCAAGATAACTGGTGATCAACTCCGGGTTATGCAATCCTGGAATAGTTCCGTGCACTTCTGCCAGTGGCCCGGTGTTACATGCGGTCGCAGACATCAGAGAGTCATCAGGTTAGAACTACAATACCTAAAACTTGTGGGTTCAATATCACCGTACATAGGAAATTTGAGCTTTCTCAGGGTATTGAATCTTGGAGACAACAGCTTCAACAATGAAATTCCCCAAGAAACTGGACGTTTAAGAAGATTGGAAATATTGCAACTGTCCAATAACTCCATAAGTGGTGAAATTCCTTCCAATTTATCTGGTTGTTCTAAGCTTATATTTTTTCATGTGAGAGGCAACCAGCTAACCGGAGAATTACCTGGTTGGCTTGGTCTCTTGTCAAACCTGAAATTGTTAAGTGTAAGCAACAACAGTTTAAGAGGGAGTATCCCTCCTGCCTTGGGGAACTTGTCGTCTCTGGAGAAACTTTCTTTGGCCGGGAATGGACTAAGTGGGGCTATACCTGAAGCTCTTGGGCAACTGAAAAATCTTTCATTTTTCTCCGTGCTAGAAAATGTAATTTCTAGTACTATTCCTGTCTCAATTTTCAATCTCTCCAATATCAGAGCTTTTGATATTGGCGAAAACAGGATTCAAGGTACTCTTCCTTCTGAATTAGGAATCACTATGCCTAATATTGAATTCTTTTCTGTCTCGGAAAACCAAATCAGTGGAAAATTCCCAGTTTCAATATCCAATGCCTCAAACCTCGTGGTACTTCAGCTTTCAAAAAACAAACTTAGTGGAAACTTACCTTCATTGGGAAAGCTGGATAAACTATCGACATTTCTCATATTTAGAAACCATTTTGGAAATGGGGGAACAACTGACTTAAACTTTCTCTGTTCTATTACCAATGCTACCAAACTAAAACGTCTGCATATAGGTGAAAATAATTTTGGAGGGGTATTGCCCGAGTGCATTAGCAATTTGTCTAGCACTCTTTCATTTTTAATAATTCGAAAGAACAAAATATGGGGGAAAATACCTGTTGGGATTGAAAATATCATCAATTTGGAGATGCTAGCTGTATCACACAATCAGCTATCAGGTTCCATTCCCCTTGCTGTTGGGAAGCTTCATAAGCTAGAGCAAATTAATGCTAATGATAATTTTCTATCCGGAGCTATTCCCCATTCTGTTGGAAATATGACAATGTTAACCGAACTTCAATTATATAGTAACAATCTTCAGGGCAACATTCCTTTAAGTCTAGGTAACTGTGAAAATTTGCTTATATTGGATCTTTCTTATAACAATCTTAGTGGATCAATACCCCGTGAAGTATTTGGACTCTCATCCTTGTCCATTCGACTAGATTTATCATCCAACTATTTAACTGGTATGCTTCCAGTTGAAGTAGGAAATCTGAAAAATCTAGGTGAATTGCATGTTTCTCAAAACCAATTATCTGGTTTGCTTCCGAATAATCTTGGTAGCTGTGTAAGACTGGAGAAGCTGTTCTTGGATGGCAATTTGTTCAAAGGGCCAATTCCTCCATCTTGGAGTTCATTGAGAGGTCTTACATCATTAGACATATCTGACAATAATCTTACTGGTGAAATTCCAAAATTTCTTGTGAGCTTTGGGTCATTACGGTATTTAAATCTATCTTTCAATGATTTTGAGGGTATGATACCAATTGAAGGAGTCTTTAAGAATGCAACTGCTACATTCGTTGAGGGAAACAGTAAGCTTTGTGGAGGAATTCCTCAGTTACACTTCTCCAAATGTAACTCAAAAACATCAATCAATTCCCTCAAATTAAAAATTGCGGTTGTTATTGTGATTTTAGGAGTGGCTTCAGTATTCTCTTTTCTCATTTTATGGTTTAGAAAGAAGAAAAAACAGCCAACCGGAACCTGTGCAGAAAATTCACTTTTAAAGTTATCATACCGGCGCATCCTAAAGGCTACCGATGGATTCTCCTCGCAAAATTTGATTGGTTCAGGTAGTTTTGGTTCTGTATACAAAGGAATTCTTCAAGAGAGTGGAGAAGTTATTGCTGTTAAGGTGCTTAATCTTCTGAATCGTAAAGCTTCCAAGAGTTTCTTGGTTGAATGTGAGGCCTTGAAGAACATTAGACATCGAAATCTTGTCAAGATATTAACAGCAATTTCAGGTGTCAATTATCAAGGCAATGGTTTTAAAGCCTTGGTTTATGAGTTCATGGAAAATGGAAGCTTGGAGGATTGGCTGCATCCATCTACTGGCATGAATGAGCAGAAGACGATAAGACACCTGAATTTCTCCCAAAGAGTTAATGTGGCTGTAGATATTGCTCAAGCACTGGAGTATCTGCACCATCATTGTGAAACACCAATTATCCATTGTGACCTCAAGCCAAGTAATATTCTACTTGATAAGGAAATGGTTGGACATATAAGTGACTTTGGCTTAGCAAAGATCCTTTTTACAGACAGGCTTAACCAATCTTCTAATCAGTCAAGCTCCCTTGGATTTAGAGGAACTATTGGTTATGCTCCACCAGGTAAGTACATTTTATTCATTTAAAAGCAGTTTTTGCTTTACAAGAAAAGACTACATTGCTTCAAATCAGAATGTAATTTCATATATTTAGAGCTCGTATGTGCTGAGAGGCTAACTTTATATAATTTTCAAAAGATCTCCTCTGCATTTATTAGCAGACATAATTTGTAATGAATTAATTGTAGAATATGGCATGGGAAGCATGTTGTCAACAAAAGGTGATGTGTATAGCTATGGCATCCTCTTGCTAGAGATGTTTACGGGGAGAAGGCCGACTGATGAATTGTTCAAAGAAGATTTCAGCCTTTACAAATTTGTTATGGCTGCTTTGCCAGAACGGGTGGTTGAGATTATAGATCCCATTCTTCTTCAGGAGGGAGTCAAACGAGGAATTGACAGACATCTCCAATGCTGGAATTCAATATTTGAAATAGGACTCACTTGCTCAGGTGAATCACCAAGTGAGCGGATAGACATGAGTTATGTTGTTACCAGGATTTGTTCTGTTAGAGACAAGCTCCGCCCAACTCGAATACGTCATGAGGGCCAAACTCTATATGCTGGTCAATCAGCAGGTAATAATTTCTTCTTATGCTGAAGTAAACAATTAGTGTTATGCTTAACAAAATACTTAATCATTACATGACTCAAGGACATTAATTTCCTTTACTTTTTTAATAAATCTTGTGTTCAAATGATTTAACAAGTAAATTGATTTTTGGTTATATTCTGTCAAAGTAAATATGATGGTTTTAAGGTTTACTTGTTTTCATATGCTGTAGGTACTTAAGATGCCTTATTGATATGGACTTGAGAGCCATGGGTCAAGCAAACTTGAGCTTTTCTCTTTTATTCACAATCTATATGGTATTTGCAGGACTCCCAATTTCTCTTAAAAACATTTTCTTAGAGAAAAGAAAATAAATGTGGGAGTGTTTCGACCAATAATTTGTTTGTGTAATATGTATTAATGTTTCCTTTTTGTTGTTGCATCATCAACTCTTTTATTCACAATCCGTGGCTATTAATGGTTGCTTTAAATTGTTGAAATTGATAGTTCTTTTTGTTCTATGGTACTATTACTGAGAGTGAATACACGGATGTATGTTAAATATGGATTGAGTGTTGGATTTTCACATTTAGTTTTGAAGGATCAATTAAAATTTTACTTATATATTTTTCACTTTTGATGTTATCCAAATTTGAGATTAAGTATTAAATACAAGTATGTGTCTAATATAGATATACTTATTTTTTATTAAAATTTTTCACAAATTTAGATTGTTTGAACTCTAAACTCACGTTTATAACATATGTGTCGAATATAGATATTTTAAGATAAATAAAAAATTAGAGTAATTAATATAGTTCATTTGAGATCTTATCAAACAAAAAAAAAAAAAAATTTGTCAAATAAATATGAGAAGATAAGTACATAGGCTAAAAAAAATATTCTTTGGTATTTGGATGAAGACTTGGAATGTTGAGAAATTAAAAAACTTAATTTGTGTTGGAGCAAACACTGAAAAATTAAAGTTATTGCTTTTGGTAAATCTAGAATTTTAAGAAAAGGCTCAAAGCATGTAACGGTGCCACTTAAGGGTTTATTTGTTCTTACTATATTATTTACTTAGTAGATGTGCAAAAAGGTTACAAGCAATAAACTTTGATGATACAATGAAACTCAGTGACTGATTGTATTTTGCATTGACAAAATCAATCCATCAAACAATTACTGTTGTATCACAAGATCACATAACCTCTATAAAAGTTTTCTACAGCAAAATTTTTATAAAAGAAATCTGGAGTTTAAAGAAAGAGGAAGAGTTCCAAGAATTGTTTTTGTGTATTTTTAGAAAACCAGATGAGCCTTTTATAAAAAAAATAACTATTATTTCCTAAAGACATAACTTTTTATGTTGAATAGACAAAAATTGTCTATTTTTGAATGGTTGAAACTGTTCATTTTAAACAAACTTATCTGTTTATTTTGAATAGACTTAACTATCTATTTTTGTTTTTTCTTTTCTAATGTGAGATTATTTATCATATTTTATTTTGAAAATCTCTAACAATCTCCCACCATTTTCAAAATAATCCAGATTATGATGACATTGAAAATCAATTGCATAAATGAAGGTATTTCTGATTTGAACTTTAACTTAGTGAAAACAAGTTAAAGTTAACTGAAATTGCATGGTAGACTACGCTTTGAACCAGCTATTCCATTTGGTTAACTAAACCTGCCTCACACAATGATTTCAACACCCAATGAATGCTTGGTATCTGGTGACATATTTATGACCATATGTCTACATCCTCTTTTCATGAGTGTTGTTAAAGCCAAGCTTTTAACCTTTTAAAAGCGGCTACACTTCACACTCACATAGGTAGCTCCCATCAAGAGTGTTCCCGTAATTATAACACTTTAACATATTTATGTTATGGGTCTATTAAGAGTATATTACTCATCATTTCTTTACCATTATGGGTATCTAACACTTTACATGGGATGACATTAAACATTACTATAGTGCTAGCAGTCACATACAAATGATGTACTTTATCTCGTTAAACTCAAAAGTTGATGTTATACCAAACATTGAGTCGAGTTTCCATCATGGGTGACTTTACTTCATGAGTTTGAGCCCCATCCCTATTGAGGTCTTTTTTACCAACTCTCGAGCAAGACTTTTGGTTAAAGGATCCATCAAGTTTTCACTTGATCTCACATAATTTATAGTGATCACTCCATCTGAAATTAATTATTAAACATAGTTATGTCTTAATCCAATATGTCTAGACTTTTCATTATATATTTAGTTATATGCCCTTGCTAGAGTTGCTTCACTATCACATCAGATAAAAATAGAAGAAATTGGTTAAGGTCATAAACGTACTTCATATAATAAATTTCTTAACCATTCAGCTTCTTCAGCTGTTGTGGCTAATGCAATAAACTCGGCTGCCATGGTGGAATGTCACCCCCACCAAGTACAAAGATCCACCTACTTGTAGAAGCATGATCTTTTATATTAGTAATCCAACTAGCATCATAATATCCTTTTATAACTGAAAGATATCCACTATAACACAATCCATAATTAATTATTTTCTCTAAATAACAAAGTACTCTTTTAACTGCTTGCTAATGTAAGTTACTTGGATTACTTATGTACTTACTTAACTTTTCAATGTCAAATGCTATGTCTGGCCTTGTACAAGTCATTGCATACATAAAAAAAACTAATTACTCTTGCATATTGCAATTGATCAATTATTCTACCAGTATTAGATACTAATTTTAGTTGAGAATCCATAGGTGTAGATATTATAATACAATCGAATAAATTAAACTTTTTAAGTACTTTTTTAATATAATATGATTGTGACAAGGTTATACCACTATCATTTTGGATTATTCTAATTCCAAGAATAACATCTGCTACACCCATATCTTTCATCGAAAAGTTATTTAATAAACATTTCTTTGTTTCCTTAACTTGTTCTGAATTAGTGTTAAATATTAGCATATCATCCATATATAACCAAATTATGACTCATTTACCATTTTCAAATTTGCTATATATACAATTATCTAACTCATTAATTTTAAAACCATTAGCAAGAACGATTTCAACAAACTTTTGGTGCCATTGTTTTTGTCTTTACTTAAGTTCATACAAGGATTTTACAAGCTTTCAAACCTTATGCTCTTGACCTTAAATGATACATCTTTTTGGTTGTTCCATATATACTTCCTCTTCTAATTCACTATTTAAAAATGTTATTTTTACATTTATTTGATATATAATCAAATTATAAATTGAGACAAGTGAAATTAGAAGCATAATTGTAGCAATTCTAGCTACTAAAGCATAAGTATCAAAGTAGTCTATCCATTACTTTTATGTAAAGCCATTGGCTACCAACCTTGCTTTAAATTTATCTATGATTTCATCTACCTTAATTTTCTTTTTGAAAATCCATCTACAACCTATTGGATTAGAACTTGATGGAAGGTCAACCAAAATCTAAGTGTTATTTCCCATTATTGAGTCCATTTTATCATTTATTACTTTTTTTCCAAAAGCAAAATCTTGAAACTTTATTGCCTCTTCATATGTAATAAGATTAGACTCTACATTAAAATGATAAAGAATTTTATTGGTTATGTTTTCACCAATCCTTTCCATAAGGAACATAAAGAAATCTGGTCTAAAATCTTTTACCTTTCTAACCCTTTTACTTGTCTTTATTTCTTTACAAGATTCATCATTAATTTCAGTTTGTTCCAATGGATTTGAAATTTCTTTTCCACTTGTAGGATGAATTGCTTGTAGCTATCTCAAAATAGATTTAAATCTATTTAATTAAAAATTGCATCTCTTGATTCAATTTCAGTTAAAATAACAATGTTAACTGAAATTGAATCATTTGGTTTAATAACCATGAACCTATATGCTTTACTATTTTGTACATATCCTATAAATATGCATTTTACTCCTCTTTCATCCAACTTTTTCATTTTGGGTTCTGGAATTTTAACTACAACTTTACATTCCTAAACCTTTAAATAATTAAGATTTGGTTTTCTTTTCTTCCATTGCTTATATGAGGTTATTTTTGTTTCTTTGTTAGAAATTCTATTTAGTATATGACAAGCTGTTAATAAAGTTTCACCCCAAAATCCTTGGCTAATACCAGAATATGATAAAATTGCATTTACCATTTCTATTAAGACCTTGTTCTTCTTTTTAGCTACATCATTCTGTTGTGGTGTACAAGGAGCAATAACTTGGTAGATTATTCTGGTGGATTTAAAGTAACTTAGACTATAATATTCTTCACCTTTATTCAACCTCAAGCATGATAAAAGATTCACACTGAAGTTCAACTTCAGATTTATATAATTTAAACTTATCAAGTATTTCATTTTTGGGATATAACAAATAAACATAATAATATCTAGTATAATCTTCTATAAATGTGAAAAAATATTTCTTTTTAGATAATGCAAGAGTGTTATGCATATCACTAACATCACTATAAATTAACTCAAGTAACTTTATATTCTTTTTAAATTGAGGAAAAAGATTTCTGGTAATCCTAGTCAACATGCATGTATTAGATTTATTAATGTCTTGACTAAATTCAAGAATTAATAGAAGTTTACTTATATTATGCAATTTTTTATAATTTAAATGACTTAATCTATAATGTCATAAATAAGAAGATTCAACCATATAAGTAAAAACAACATTCTTATTTTTATAAATAATATTGAGTTTGAACATTCCCTCATACATATACCCTTTCCCAACAAAAATTCCTCCTTTAAACATAATAAATTTATCTGCCTCAAATACAAATTTTAAACCAAAATTGTTTAACAAATTTCCAGATACTAAGTTCTTTCTAACTTTTGGTACATAATAAACATCATTCAAAGTTAAAATTTTTTCAAAAGTGAATTCAAGGTCAACAGTCCTTTTGCTTTTGATTGTTGTTGTAGAAGAATTTTTCATGTAGAGGACACTGCCATATTCACTTGGTTTGAATATTGTGAACATGCTTTTGTCCTTGCACACATGTTTTGTTACCCCATAATCAACCTATAAAGATTCATCATTTTCAAGTATGTTGATCTCAAAAATTATAACAACAAAATTTTTAAAAGTATCCTTTTTTAAGGAATCATTTTTCTTTTATAGCAACCAACATTCGTTCTTGAAATGTCATAGCTTGCCACAATGATAACATAAGCTTTTCTTATTCTTCTTGATTTTAGGCCTATTAGCAATCTGCTTGAACTTGAACTTCTTTTTGTCAAGCTTTATAGTCTATCTTTCCTCCAAAACATAAACTTTTCCATTACCAGAATCAAAATTTTGTTTTTACTTTTTATATTCTTTTTCAATTCAAAGATGATTAGCCAAAGCCTCAAGAGTTATTTCCTTTTTTTTTTTTTTTTAATGTTTTAGACTTCTTTTAAAGTCCTTCCATGATGGAAGAAGTTTGTTTATTATAGAGGGCACAAGAATTGT